CTAGTTTAGCGTTTTCGTCTTTTTCTGCTTTCACAAATCCATGACGGCCCAAGCAGCTTCCATAATCGCCCCAGAACAAACCAAAAAGCCCCCAAGAGGGCTCCAAGACGGCCCAGGACGGCCCCAAAACGGCCCAAAGAGGCCCCCAAGACGGTCCAAGAGGCCGCGAAGACGGCCCTAGAGGACCCCAAGGGGGCTCCAATGCACCCGCGAGAGGCCCCCAGGACAGCCTCCGAGGGAGCGAAACGGCGCAAAAGCGCCAAGACGGCCGAAGACGCCCCGAAGAGGCCCCCAAGAAGCCTCCAAGAAGCCCCCCAGAAGCCTCCAAAAGGGCCCCAAAAAGCCCCCCAAAGGCCACACAGCGACTGGATTGTAATGTCATTTTCCCCCTCTGGGCGAACTGCGGCGCAGCGCCAGCCAGGTGGAAGTTGGTCGCTGCGGCGCCCATGATTAGAGCCGGCGCTGGAAGGGAAAATGGGGAGGGTGTATGAAAAGGAAGGGGGGAAGGCCCCAAGAAAGCTCCCAGGAGGCCTCCAGGAGGCCCCCAAGAGGCTCCCAGGAGGCCCCGCGACGACGTGACTGTACGTGCTCCGGACGTGCACCCCGCGAAGCGAGAGTAATCATTTTCCCGGAGAGGCTTCCGGGAAGATGATTTCGCACGAGGCCCTCTTGGGCCTCCCTGAGGCCGTCTTGGGGGCCTCCTGGGCCAGCTTCGGGGCCTCTTGGGCCGTCTTGAAGTTCCGTGAGCCCCAAAGGAAGACCCTTTTTTGTGCCGCCAGGAATCCACGTCCGGAGGTGACGTGCTGAGCGGCAGCGTTTTTCGGCGAACGCCTTAATCGGCGAACGCCTTAATGCAACGTATCCAATGTATCCAATGATTGCAGAATTGCCACATCTTGCACTGTGTTACATTATTATGTCTCCCCCCTAACCCCCCTAGGAGCCGCGCCACAGGAACGGACCAAAATGATCGGCCCTCCTTCTGGGGCCCCACACCTACAAAAACCGATGACAGATCAACAAGTTCGGCCTCTTGGGCCTCTGGAGACTGCAAGAGGGCCTCAAGATGGCCCAAGATGGCCCCAAGACGGCGCAAGACGGCCCCAAGACGGCCCAAGATATCCCCAGCGGGGGCCCATGAGGCCCCCAAGCCGGCCCCAAGAGGGCCTGGAAAGCCCCAAGGACGGCCCAAGAGGGCCCCAAGAGCGCCCACAACTGCGCCTCCAGAGGCCGAAATTATGGATTTTCCTATGGTATTTGCAATAATTTAGCGTTCTCGCCTTTTTCGGCTCTCAAAAATGCATGACGGCCCAAGCAGCTTCCAGAATCGCCCCAGAACAGCCCAAGAAGCCCCCAAGAGGGCCCCAAGACGGCCCAGGACGGCCCCAAAACGGCCCAAAGAGGCCCCCAAGACGGTCCAAGAGGCCGCGAAGACGACCCAAGAGGACCCCAAGAGGGCTCCAACGCGGCCGCGAGAGGCCCCCAAGACAGCCTCCGAGGGGGCGAAACGGTGCAAAAGCGCCCCAAGACGGCCCAAGACGCCCCCAAGAGGCCCCGAGAGGCCCCCAAGAAGCCTCCAAAAAGTCCCCCAGAAGCCTCCAAAAGGGCCCCAAAAAGCCCCCCAAAGGCCACACAGCGACTGGAGTGTAATGTCATTTTCCCCCCTCTCGGCGAACTGCGGCGCAACGCCAGCCAGGTGGAAGTTGGTCACTGCGGCGCCCTTGGTTAGAGCCGGCGCTGGAAGGGAAGATTGGGAGGGTGTATGGAAAGGTAGGAAAGGCCCCACAGAAGTCCCCAAGAGACCAAAAGAAACTCCCAGGAGGCCTCCAGGAGGCCCTCCCAAGAGACCCCGCGACGACGTGACTGTACGTGCTCCGGACGTGCACCCCGCGAAGCGAGAGTAATCATTTTCCCGGAAAGGCTTCCGGGAAGATGATTTCGAACGAGGCCCTCTTGGGCCTCCCTGAGGCCGTCTTGGGGGCCTCCTGGGCCAGCTTCGGGGCCTCTTGGGCCGTCTTGAAGTTCCGTGAGCCCCAAAGGAAGACCCTTTTTTGTGCCGCCTTGGGCCCTCTTGGGTCTCTCTTGGGCTGTCTTGGGGTTCCTCGGGGGCGTCTGGGGCACTGTGAAGACGAAGCAAGCGAGTATGCTGGAAATGCACGTTTTACTAAGAGAATGGGCCGATGTTTGCATCTTGAAGGCCCTCTTGGAGCCCTCTTCGGCCATCTTCAAGCCATCTCGGGCCCTCTTGGGCCTCGCTGAGGCTGTCTTGTGGGCCTCTTGGGCGTCCTGGGAACCCGGAATTCCTGTTCCCGGAGAGGCTTCCGGGAAGATGATTTCGCACGAGGCCCTCTTGGGCCTCCCTGAGGCCGTCTGGGGGGCCTCCTGGGCCAGCTTCGGGGCCTCTTGGGCCGTCTTGGGGGGGTCCGTGAGCCCCACAGCACGACCCTTTTGGGCCGTTTTGGGCCCTCTTGGGTCTCTCTTGGGCTGTCTTGGGGCTCCTCGGGAGCGTCTGGGGCACTGTGAAGACGAAGCAAGCGAGTATGCTGAAAATGCACGTTTTACTAAAAGAATGGGCCGATGTTGCCTCTCGAAGGCTCCTCGGGCCCTCTTGGGGCGCTCTTGGGCGACTTGGGGCCCTCTTGGGCCTCGCCGAGGCTGTCCTGTGGGCCTCGTGGGCTGTCTTTGAGCCTCTTGGGCCGTCTTGGGCGGGTTCGTGGACCCCACAGGACGCCCAGGGCGACCATGCCAACCGGTGGCACCACCTCACCCCCGCCCCCGGGCCGATATATATATATATATATATATATACATATATATATATATATATACATACATACATACATACAAATATACATACATACATACATACATACATACATACATACATACATACATACATACATACAAATATATACATATATATATATGCATACATACATACATACATACATACCTACATACATCACCTTACACTACATTACATTACATTACATTACATTACATTACATTACATTACATTACATTACATTACATTACATTACATTACATTGCAGTACATTACATTACATTATATTACATTACATTACATTGAATTACCTTACCTTACCTTACCCTACATTACATTACATTACATTACATTACATTACATTACATTACATTACATTACACTGCATTACATTACCTTACATTACATGACATACATACATACACGCATACATACATTGCATACATGTATGCGTACATACATACATACATGCATACATACACGCATGCATGCATACATACATACATGTATACATATATACATCTATGCATGCATACATACATGTATGCATACATACATGCATGCATACATACATACATATGTACATACATACATACATACATGCATACATATAAATTTATGCATATGCACACACATGGATTGGTATAAACACAATCATATGCATTAGTGGTATACACATGTAGTGGCATAAACACAATCATATGCATTACTGACACGCACACATGCATACAGCTGCACATGCACATACACGTATACGTATACATACGCATACAACACGATCTGGCACCTACACCGATATACACATACATAGATATACACATGTCTGTATGAATGCCTGCATACACATGCGAACCTAGACAAACACATAAAAATATACATAACTATATATATGCACGATTGAACATCGGCATGCGCAGAAACATAGAACTACCTACATATATGTACTTAACATGTGTGTGTGTGCCCCAAACAGCGCTTGTACTTAGAACGTCTTACGTGTCTTCTCAGGAAATTGGCTCGTTTGTCGGGTCAACCGCCTTGCTGCTGCCGTCGCTGCCCCGTCGCCGCCTCGTCGCAACCCGTCGTCTGGGCTCTTTCGCCGGGTCCGCCGCCTTGTTGCCGCCGTCGCCGTCCCGTCGCCGCCTCGTCGCCTCCTGTCGTCTGGGTTCGTTTCTGGGATCCGCCGCATTGTTGCCAAGGACGAAGCTGGGATGGAGAGCTCCAAGGACACACACAAAGCGGAAGCAAGCCGCACGATCATTGCTGACCGAACACAGAAAGCGGATGCAAACCGCACGATCCTTGCGGACAGTCCTCATCGCGTCTAAATGGAATCCGACATGAATGCTGCACACTGGCGAGGCTCAAAGGGAAAGGTGCCGGAAGCACTCCGCCGGCCGCATTGACGCCTGCGTGTGATCATCTTCTCCCAACAGCCCTCCGATTGCAAACCCAGCGCGGTCGAGGTGCTTGACGTAGAAATTCAGATACTGGGTGCCCTGCTGTGTGCGACCACGGGCGATCTTTATCTCTACCACCCCAAACTTTGTCCATTTCATCCCTTCACCCTGAACGCTGAAACGAAGACCGCCAGCCTGCCTCGCCTCCGCCCACGTTCCTGTGAGATTTACTTGTTGAAAGTACATGTCTGCGCAATGTCCACCCAAATTATGCGCCAAGGCCTCTACATGAAGCATCGTCATCTCGGCACGCTCTCCCTGCGGAATCTGTATCAAAACGTGCTTGCCGGGCTGCATCAAGTCGAACCGCTCACCAAAAATGTTCTGCAAATGCGGATCGCCAGTGGCAGCCACCGATCCGCCGGCTCCACCCGCCATGGGAGCTCCAGCAGGAAACGTCGGGTGTGGCGTCGGCCAACCTGGAGGATACGTCGGGCTGGGCGTCGGGCTGGGCGTCGGGAAGGCCGTCGGGTAGGCCGTGGGGTAGGGCGTCGGGTAGGGCGTGGGGTAGGGCGTCGGGAAAGCCGTGGGAAAGGGCGTCGGGCTGGGCGTCGGGTAGGGCGTCGGGTAGGGCGTGGGGTAGAGCGTCGGGCTGGGCGTTGGATAGGGAGTCGGGTAGGGCGTGGGGTAGGGCGTCGGGCTGGGCGTCGGGTAGGGCGTAGGGTAGGGCGTCGGGTAGGGCGTCGGGCCGGGCGTTGGGTAGGGCGTCGGGTAGGGCGTCGGGCTGGGCGTCGCCTCCGAGCAGGTGCATCCGCCACACGTCGGGCTGCTTTTGCCGAAGGTAATCTGGAAGTAAGCGCCCCTGTGGAACAGACCGTCGAGAGAATCAACCTCTACCCTGATTGTGTGCGGCCCAGCTGAAAGCGAGAATGTCTGCGAGGGCATGTTGACATCGCACATGATGCAGGTGCTGACCTGGCATGCGCTGCCGCCGTGGCCGTTTGAAGCTTGCACCGTGGTGCGCAGGACGTTGTCCACGTACAGTTCAAACTTTTCGAAGTTGGCCTCAGCGACGCCTGTCATCGCAAGGGTCAGGTCGATGGGCGAAGCGTCGTTCAAGGTGAGAACTGCGCTCCCGTGTTGCCTGGAATTCGCCACGCCACCGCAGATCGTATCGTCATGGAAGTCGAAGCGGATGAACGCGGTGGTGCTGGACCAAGTGCCATGCACCCCATGAGAAGCGAAGGTCCACGCCGACGCGGTGTTTCCCAGTGGCGTGCAGCAGCCTTGACCCACCTGCCAGGTGCTGCACTCCGCGCGCGTGAACCGCGCGGACGTCGCGTTCTGCGCCACGTTCTCGAGCCAGCCGCTCGTTGCCAGCTGCATGCCAGACGCGCCTGATAGCCCGAGAAGCACAAGAGACCAGACCATGCCAGTCGCCACCATCCCGTCTAACCGAGCGAGAAAACTCTTCTCCGCGATCCACGACTTGCTGAGTGTGCAATGTCGGCTATTGAGCCTGCATGGCCACGGCATCCGGACGCTGCCCACCCGGCGCTGCTGCGGACCCGAAGTGCCACGCTGCGGGCTCGAAGCGCGACACTCCGCGACGGACCCAAGTCGGCATGGGTTTCCGCTCTGCTGGGCGGCGTCAGCCCTGAGCTTTGAGCAATCAGCCCTTGGCACTGGTTCCGCGCAGGGTGGTGCGAACAGGAGCACCCCTTGTCAGAAACAACATGATCGACCCACGAACCCGGACCGGGCATGGAAATGTGAGGCATGGCAACGTGTTCAAGACACCTGATTGGGCGACGGGCAATTGCAATGCGGAGTGTATCGATGTTGGTGTAACGTGCTCAAGGCTGTGCTGTGCTGTGCGGTGCTGACTTGCGATATGCCATGCTGCGATTGTGCTTTATAGCGTTGTGGATCGAGTCTTCCTTTGCATCCGAGTCTAAGACCGAACTGATCTGGATATTGAGCTCGAGCTGTCTGAGCACACAGTAACTGCCCCAGAGCTAGTTGAAATGAAAACGTGCGGGACCCTCAATCAACTCGACCTCAAAATCCGACTCAACTCCGAAAAGGAGCGAAAAGACACGGGGCACAGGCTCACGGACGCGCCACAGGATGTTCCAGGGGCGCAATAAGGGATGCGTCAGGGGGCGTGTCAGGGGGCGTATCAGGGGACGTGCCCTGGACATGTCAGGGACCTGCCACGGCTGGGGGACGTGCCAGGGCACGTCACGCCAGAACGTCGCAAGGGACGCGCCAGGAGACGCACCAGCGCACCAGGGGACGCCCCACGGACGGGCAAGCGTGTCGCTCGAGACACCCTCAACGGATCCTCATGTTAGACATCCGCCTGGACGACCTGGACACGTCAAAAAAAAGCGTCTCGCTCGAGGCATTCTCAACACATCCTCATGCTACACATCCGCATGGGCGACCTGGACACGTGAAACCAAGCGTCTTGCTCGACACGTTCCCAACACCTCCTCATGCTAGACATCCACCTGGGCGACCTGGACGCGTGAATACAAGCATTTCGCTCGAGACATTCTGCCCACATCCTCATGTTACACACTCGCCTGGGCGACCTGGACACATGAAAACAAGCGACTCGTTCGACACATCCTCAACACATCTTCATGCTAGACATCCGCCTGGGCGACCTGGACACGTGAAAACAAGCGGTTCGCCCGAGACATCCTCAACACGTCTTCATGTTAGACATCTGCCTGAGCGACCTGGGCCCGTGAAAACAAACGTGTCGCTCGAGGCCATCTCGACACCTCCTCATGCTGGACATCCGCCTGGGCGACCTGGACACGTGAAAGCAAGCGTCTCGCTCGGAACATCCTCAACACATCTTCATGTTAGACATCTGCCTGGGCGACCTGGACACGTGAAAACAAGCGTTTTGCTGAAGACAATCTCAATCCACCAGACACCTGGGCTGGAATGATTTTGAGCGTTTCCTTATGTAGTTTTCTGATCCCACCAGCCCTCTGGGCGTAGGTGTTTGGAGCAGCTAGCTCTTGGCCCTTTGGGCTTGAATGGTCTAGAGAGATCGCTTTCTCTCTCTCTCTCTCTTTCTCTCTTTCTCTTTCCCAAGACTCCCACCAGCCCTCTGTGCGGAGGTGGTTTGGCGAGTTTCTTCTTCCAGCTTGCCTCTTCCCCTTCGGGGAAGGGTGTACCCCTCCCCCTATCCACCCCCCTGGCCTGGAAGGAGGTTCGGGAGGGGTTGAAGCGTCCATGACGGCCTCAGCGAGAAGGCAAAGACCATGCAAGGTTTTGCTTCAAGTCTGGCCTCCTTGGGGCCAAGGCTGAGTAAGCCCCCCCATTCTTCAATCGAACTCCTGCTAGTGCTAGATGGCCCCAAGATGGCCCCCAAGGCTCGCAGAAGGGCCCCACGAGGGCTCTAAAAGGCGCCCGGGAGGCCCCAAAAGGCCCGCAAAGGGGTCCCCAAAAGGCTCCCAAGAGACCCCGACGAGGCCCCGGGAGGCCTGTGCTTCGCTGCGTTTGCATTGGCTTGCCAAGCTCTTCTCTGTTGTCCTTGTGTTCCGTGCCCAGGTGGGCCCTGGGCAGCCCTTGGAAGCCCCCGGGGGAACCCTGTCAGGCCATGAGCGGCGCCCCAAGGCCCCCCAGGGCCACGGAAAACGAGGAAAGCGATGAAAGCCCCCCAAAAACAGTGCAAGCAACGCGTAGAACCAAGAGAAGCAGTAATACCATATGCTAGCACAGCGAAGAACAATGAAAAACAGATAAACCTATGATTGCACATCAAAAACCCATGAATCCGTGATGTGTCCTTATTGTTTCGTGTGGTTTCCTTGTTTGTCAGTGCTTGGCATTGCTTTCCTTGTTGTTCCGCGCCTGTGGGCACCAAGCTATTGGCCGACGGTGAGATGGGGAGGTCACCTGCGCAGAAAGCATTCCATGTGGAAGGCAACCAACCGAAGGGTTGGAACGAGGGAGGGGAGCTTCGCTTCGAACACAAATTCGACCAGTTTCTTCTCTGGCTGATTTACAACGTTGGGGAAACGAACAGAAGCCCCAGCAGAGGGGAGGAGGGAGGAGAGGGCATGGGAGGGGTAGGGACGGGGAGGCGGGGAAGGTCGAAGACGGAGGGGGAGGAGAGGGAGGAGGGGAGGGGAGCGGAAGCTGCTGACGGAGGCGTCCTGGGGCGCCGACCGCGCCATGACGCTCGCTGGCGACATTGCGCATGCTCGTCGGAGGAGGGATGCGGAGGAGAGGTGGGGAGGAGGGCTTCGAAGCCAGAGTGCGTCCGTTGCTGAAGGCGCGACTCCGGTCTCGGGCCAGGGCGAGGGGTGTGCCCAACTAAACTCAGATGTACATTCCGGTGTGAGCATACATGATCCAGGGTCGAGGGTTCCCACGCGTCCCCACCCCCAGAGAACGCGCTTCTTTATTCGCGGCGATAACGGGCGTTAGCAAGCGCCAGCAAGCTACAGCTATCGTGGACCGCAGCAGCTCAACAGGCTGGGGGATGAGAACCCGCACAGCCGCCTCACCAGAGTGAGGCTGTCAGGGAGGAGCAGGAGCGTTGGGAATAGACAGTTGGGGCGTTAATCCTCCTCTTCCCCTTCCACACTTCTTCTGCCTATTCGTCATCCTCCGTCGTGAGCAGCTTGCGCGGCCACCTCCGGGCTGTCTTGGGTCCCAGCCTGCTCGTAAGTGGTGTCCTCCGGGGGGGGCCCTCTTCAAGTCTCCTGCAGCAGTATTGTAGCCCCCTTGGGGGAGTCTTGGAACCTTCTTGGGCCCTCTCGGTCTCGCGCCGTCCTGGGACCGTCTGGAGCCATTTCGGTCTCCTCCAGGGGACCAGTTTGGCCCACTCGGGATCCTCTTGGGGCAGTGCTGGACCAGATTGGGACCCTCTCGGGGCGCCCTCTGGCTGCTTCAAGGCCCTCTCGGAGTCATCTTCAATCGAAGCTAAAACCACGCGGGCGCTTCGCGCATGCTCAGGTTCTAGTCTAAGGCGGATCTCAAGCTCATCCTGTGCCTGCCCTCCATGTGGAAGCCAAGTTCGTCTCATTCCTCCTCGCTCTCCTCCTCACCATCTGTCTCCTCTCCCCGCTACTCCCCACTGCCATCCTCCTCACCTGGTTCGTCCTCCTCTCTTGTCTATCTCATGACCTGACACCTGTTGCACGCACAGGCACCGACGGAAGAGGGGGAAGCAGCGATGGGGCAGCGGGGAAGGAGGGATGAGGGGAGGAGGCACGAGAGAAGAGAGGAGGCATGGAAGACAGGGAAGGGAACGGAGGCCCCCGCTTCTGCATGCGCCAATGACCGCCACGGCGGCGACGCCGCTGGCCTGCTGGTACGCTCCAGGAGGATCCCGCCCGGAGGGAAGGGCATGGAGAAGAGACGACCGATCCAGAGGGGCCCTGGGAGGCCGCCGCGGAGTCCCCGAAAGAACCGAGGCAGTACCCGAAGTCAAGTTGTGCGAGAACCTCCTTGCTCCTGGGAGGGGGGGGGGTGCTGGGGGGCCTCTTGGGGTCTCCAAGAGGGTCATAAGGGGTGCATGCTGGGAGCCATACCCGCCAGCACAGCTCGCAAGACCCCTCTCGGCCCCCCCCTGGAATCAATCCCTCTTGGCTTCCTCTCGGAGCTCTCTCGGGGCCTCTTCAGCCGCCTTGAGGGCCCCTTCAACCGCATCGGGGGGCCATCCTGGGCCCGCCTGGAACGCCTTGGGGCGACCAGGAAGGCCCCATCAGGTCGTCTTCCCGGGAGTGTCCATAAGGCTCTCTTGGGATGTTCTGGGGTCGTGAGGCCATCGAAGGCCATCTCAGAGCGCTGCAAAACCTTCTTGGGCGGATTTTGGCGGTCTTCAGGGCCTCTTGGTGACTGGGAGAGGCCGTCTAAGGGCGCCTTGGCCAGCCGAGGGGCCGAAAGGGCGAAAAACACCTGGACGAAATCTGGCCCCAGACCCCGCGGGCTAAACTATGTTAGAGCGTGCTGCCCCAAGCCCCAGGAGTCCTGACACCCGCTGAACACGTATACACACATAGGTTCCTCAAACAGCGCTTGCACTTAGAGGTTCTTACCTGGCTTAACCATCTCGGGGGGGATGGCGGCTTTCGCGGGCGGTGCCGCCCGTCGCCGCCGTCTCCGTCGCCGTCGCCAGCGCTCGGGGCGAGTGGCGGTTTTTGAGGGCGGTGCCGCCCGCCGCCGCCGTCACCGCCGTCGCCGCCGCCGCCGTCGCCGCCGCTCGGGGCGAGTGGCGGTTTTTTGCGGGCGGTGCCGCCCGTCGCCGCCGTCGCCGTTGTATAGTTTTTACTTTCTTAAACATATGTTCTACCACCGTCACCCCCTGGATTCTTCCACCCCCCGGGAACCGATGCAAAACATATATGGTTATGACTCAATGTCCATCCGACCTGCGAATTCACACTATTCCAGCCAAACCGGTATCGCCCCCCCCCGCCATCCTCTGCAACAGATATTCGACATGCGCGCACATTCGTTCATCACAAATCATAAAACCCAGCAATCCCATACAACAAATGGGACGAAGTGCGCACGCGTGC